TATAAAAAATATGTTTATACTAAAAGCGTGGACAATCAATACATCCTCTTCAAATCTACTCCAAGGAAAAAAATATTATGATTAAGCCACATACAAAGTTACAAATTGATATGGTAAATGGTGGCGAAACAAAGTCTGGAAAAGTTAAAAATTGTTTGATTCATGTAATCTTGAAAAAGAAAGTAAAGGGACATAACTCTTTATGTAGACTCCAATTTAAGTAATTTGTGCTGATCTGACAGATGTGTCAATTCAAGATCTATCTGTAAATAAAATTCATGAAGAATTACACATTATTATATGTTTCGCATGCCTGAAATTGTCTGACATTGTCAGTATGGTAAGTTTTAAGCAAAACTTCAAAACTTTCTAAAATTTCTGGATATTTTTTTCAAAAAACAACGGGAAAAAAATCTACATTTTAAAGAAAGTGGTAGCTATGGGAGCACCCTATATATGTTATAAACATAAAAATATTGGTACCTTGCAAAACAATAAGCAAATTTCGCAAAACCACCAATTCTCAAAAATCACCTAAACATGACATATTTTATCTAAAAGGAAACTTGGAACTTATAGAATTAACAAACTATATCTGATATATAACAGAAAAAAATGTGAGGAAATCATGTGAGGGACACAACTCACAGAAATATTGTCCAAAGGAAGACAATCAATCATAACCGCACAAATACTTAGAGTAGAGAGTATGAGTATTACTTGAAACAAATTTTAAAATTATATAAGAAATACTTCTCAGGGACACCATCTAAATGAAAATTAATTGATTGATATAACAGTCGAGATGAATTAAAAATCCTCCCCACATGGAAAGTAAAACAAACATTACAGTAAAATGTTCAAACCTGGCGTGCATGGTGTCAAGTTTCACCTTTTGGCCTTTTGTAACTTTCAGCTTTCTTGGCGAATTTTATGCATTTTTAAATATCTCTTATTCTTATCAGATGTATATGAAGTGCATAACAAATGGAAAAAAAAAATATGAATGATAAACTGGCAGAATACGATGTATAGGAAAGCAAACAAAGGGGCACAACTCTTCAAGTTCATGAAAATCGAGCCCTTTCTTTCTTCTATTTTTAGGATGATTCCATACCAAAGTCAAATAACTTTGCCTACTGCAATTTCTGACAGGTCAATGACCCTTGATGAGACTTATTTAACTGTCAAAAATCAGTCCAAAAAATACTGCAGTACAATTTTATGTCAACTTACGTATTAGTAGATTTTAACACCACTGTTAATATGAATGTTGAACAGAAATATTTTAACATTTAAGCGAACACATTTTTTTTACAATCCTTTTAATAACAGATTTAGGGAATGAAGGGTTTAAATGTTGTTTGTTGATGTTAAGTGGGTCGAAAAAACATGTATAACATTTTTTTAAACACAGTATTCTAAAAGATATGATTAAGGTTTCAGACTCTTTTTGGTTATCAGCATCTTGTGAGGAAACTCCATGTATTGTAGCAGAAAAACGTCAACAAATAATACGAAGTGTAGTGCAGTTGATATAGAAAGCTCAATTCCTGCTATATATTTGTAGTAAAGTTGTCAAAGAATCAGATATTTGGCAGACCTTTCTTATACATATGACTTAAAAGTGGCTGCGAGGATTTATAAAACCCAAAAAACAAACTGATTCCTATCCCTTATTCCGTCTTTGCGTATTGCAGAGTTATCTTCTCTTGTGAGCAGGTATTGATTGTTACATCATTTGTTTGTGAGAGTAACGTCATCAATTTTCGAGAAAACGACGTAATTATCTCACACAAACCAATGATGTAACAATCAATACCTGCTCACAAGAGAAGATAACTCTGCAATACGCATAGACGGAATACCGAGAACAGTGTGGAAATATAGATGAACTGAAGGTATTGAAAATAACGTCAGGTAATTCGAGTAAAATGGACTTCCATCATAATTTTACATATTCATAATGTGTTTATACAGACTCCCTTAAAAAAAACACATTCCATACATGTTTTCAGCCTTGTTCTCTAAGCTTTCAAATTATTGAACCTGGCACAGGGACAAATTACCATCCTATGGTCCCCATTTTTTATATCATACATTATATAATACACATATATTAGAAACTAATACCAAGTTCCTGTGCATGTAAATAATAATGGCGGCGCCCAGTACCAAGTTGCCTTGTCGACTATATGTCATGATTTATGTAAAAAAAACAATGGAGGACAATACTTAAAAAAACATTTTCTGTATATGATCAGTTGGTAGTGATAATTGACCATATTCTAACTGTAAATGATAACCAAGGGAAATACATAGGCGACCAGTGCTGAAATAATCTTGAAAGTTTAAAGTTTTGCTAGTAAAGTGTCTATGCAAGGTGGCAGGGGAGGGAAATTAAACACAAGGCTAAATCTGCCAAGGTTGAATAGTACAAATTTAAATTATGAACCCTTGGCTATTAAAGATGGTGAGATAACGAGGTAAGTTCGTAAAATAAGATGTGTCTTCAGCAGTATGCTCCAGTGAAATTACACTATAAAGTCAGCATCGGTCCTGCGCTATCACAAGGAGACAAACATGAACATACCATAGACTCCAAAAACACAAATTAAATATGCACAAACTCACCACACGCATGCATCTAGCAAATGGGGGAGGCCATCCTTAAATGACCATGTATAGCTGTTGATAGGACGTACATTAAACAATACTAAATCAAACCTGAAGTTTATTTTGACATTAAGATCTTATTTATTTGGATAATTTCATTGAAATGATGACTTGTTACTTTAAACAAATGATTTGTTAATTTCAGCTTGCATGCACTGTATGAATGTTATTTTAATAACATTGTACCCATATGAATCCATGATTGTTGTGAAGTGATGCTTTATTTTAATTTAATACATTTGATGCTCTATTACCTGACCTGGAACGCATTCGTAGCCATACCGAGACAATACAATACTGTGGTATAACTGTATATATATTGTGTACATAGTTTAAGCGTCTGCGAGACCAGCTGTTCTAACTTACAAACGTCCAGGTGAAGAGAAAGAACTTGAGAGAAATGTTTTTGACTTTTGACAGGAGCTGTAGGCAATTCACACTTTTCAATTTGTACTTATTAATTCTTCTTTTTGGATAACGACGCTTTAACCTGTAAGTGATAAATACATCACTGGCATCAATCCGAGCAGCATCAATACTTAAAACGTCTTTTAATATTAACTGCTACCAAACTCTTGCTCCTGGTTACAAATAAATGCTATGTGCCAATTGCAATCACCTGCCCTCTGGACTGGCTTTTAAGTAAGTTGTTTTAGTGCCAAATTTTGTACAGCATGATTATTTAGTCTCTTTATCTTAATCCTTCCAACATAGGTATCTTGTGATAAAATTTGTTGTTTGCCTTACACTGTTACAATGTTTCAAGCTCCTGAGAGCTTATGTTAACTATGACATATATTTAACGTAAAATAATGATTCTTGTATCTTTTATTTTGAAGTAACATGCCACTATGCTTTTATCCGATAATTTTAAGATAAAAAAACCACACACTCAAGCTTTTAATCACGAACTTTTCCTCGAATGCGCCTATGTATAATCTTCGGCGTGATGAAGGACACAAGTTAAGGTATACTGTTGATGCCGACATGTACAAATGTATGTAAACTGTAAAACGAAAGTAGGTCTGCGCGATCGCAAACATTTAATGCTGATATTTCCGCATAAATGTCAGTTACTACTTGATATGATAGCAATGGATTAAACGAGTGTTACCTTGTGTTGGATTCTAGCACATCAGTGTCTCAATACATACGGTATTAATCTGTTAATGTTCGATAAACGTCTGTTTATTATTACTGTCCTGATTATGTTGTGAGCTATTTCCGGGTCACGTTCTCGTATCAAGTGCGCTTCCGGTTACGTCATAAAATGCAAAATCTTTTTGATATTTATTAATAAAAGATAGTTCAAAGAATATACTAGTTAATAAAACAATATCAATACACTGTAAATATTATTTTCTTGAATATTTGCGAAGCAGACGACGTTTGATCAAAATCTGGAAACTAGAACATTTTTTTTCCAAAAAAATGTGTTTTAACATATGAAAGACAAAAGTTTGAAGGGGGAAAAATAAATTTGTTCTTTTATGAATTAATGAAAGTGATACAGAAAAGCAATATAGTCAATAATTGATAGTAAATTTATCAAAAACATCAACATTAGAGAGTATGTTCTGGGCATGATCGTTTAGAAGCTTTCCAATACCTTTAACTCTTTCAAACGCGCATCAGCTCGAGATTAGGTCCTGTTTACAAAATGGCAACTGGAAGTAGCAAGGCGGATTAAGTTGGAATTTAAATTGCGTATATTTCGGCAAGTAAACATTGTTCACAAAGCCCATGTGGTCTGTTCATCTAATTTAGTCAAGATGTACTCAGAACAGTCGTTGTTTAGTCGCTAGGGTCATTCACAAAAAAATAGTATTATTATATAAACTTATTGTAAGTATTTAATAACTGTTATGTTTATCTAACTCGAGTTAGTTAATCTCTTGTATAATATGTACAATGTGAAAATTAAGTAACGAGAGTTATATAAACGTGATAACTAATCATCACGAGTTTGTGGACCTGTTTATTCTATTACGTTCATAGTTTATCTGAAAAAAACCCCATATTTTCCCCTTGCAAAATACATCGTATGTTTTTCCGATGGGGAAAACAATTGCCATGGAGCATGACGTCATAATGGAAAATTACGTCCAGGGTGTTACCAACTAGTGGGTAACCAAACATGTTTACCAACTCCTAGCAGGTTTATCCAATGAGTAATGAGTGAGGAAACCTACAGTGGTTGTGGGAGAACTTTAATGATAAAGATATTCACCACAATTATTATATTATGTATCTTTAGACACTATCAATAATGGATTAAACACTAATATATAGGCATTGATTTATATAATGTTTTATTCTCACAGAGTCTGAACGGGATGCATTGAAGGACGCTGCGAAGAATGAGTTAGAAAAAGTTCGTCAGAATTTGGAGGAATGCCTCAAAAGTAGGTACAGCGATGTCAACTTTACTCAGAGTGCAGATTTCATCAGAATAATGTGTAGTCTAGGATATTGGTATACTGAAGAGAATCTGGTTTTATATTTAGTAGTTTCAAAAATACTGTATGTATCAAGTGTTCAATACATAAGTGTAATATCGCCCATAAGCAAAATATATATGTCAACTAGTTTTTAACGTAACCAAGCTGAAGTCAGGTGTATAACACCAGTTATATCTATCTCACATCTATTGTGTTATGTAGTCGTTTAGCGTTATTTAACATAACCAAGTTAAAGTCAGGTGTATAACACTAATTATAACTATCTCACAGCTATTGTATTATGTAGTCGTTTAGCGTTATTTAACATAACCAAGCTGTAGTCAGGTGTATAACACCAGTTATATCTATCTCACATATTGTGTTATGTAGTCATTTCGGGTTATGCAACATAATCAAGTTAAAGTCAGGTGTTTAACACTAGTTATATCTATCTCACAACTATTGTATTATGTAGTCATTTAGCGTTATTTGACGTAAACAAGCTGAAGTCAGGTGTAAAATTATACCTATATTTTGTACTTCATTTTAGCCTTCCATCATCAGATAATGGTCAGTCAAAATCACCCTGCGAATCCGGACTATTAATCAATTCCTGAAACATGTATCAATATTTCTTAATAAAGTGTTTGAGAAATATATTTTCATTTGAGCCTTTCGGTCTGTAGTTTTTATACGCCCGTCGAAGACGGGGACGTATTATGTTATCACGTGAGCGGGCGGGTGGGCGGGCAAACGATTTCCGCTCGATATCTCGAGTAATTATTAACGGATTAACTTCAAACTTCACAACAAGGTTAACTACCATGAAACCTCGGACAAGTGTGATAACCGCCATTATCCGACCATAATTTCTGGAGTTATGCCCCTTTACTTGCCGAAACAGTGTCCGCTCGATATCTCGAGTAATTATTAACGGATTAACTTCAAACTTCACAACAAGGTTAATTACCATGAAACCTCGGACAAGTTCGATAACCGCCATTATCCGACCATAATTTGTGGAGTTATGCCCCTTTATGGACTTGCCGAAACAGTGTCCGCTCGATATCTCGAGTAATTATTAACGGATTAACTTCAAACTTCACAACAAGGTTAATTACCATGAAAGCTTGGAAAAGTTCGATACCGCCATTATCCGACCATAATTTGTGGAGTTCTGCTCCTTTTATGGACTTGCCGAAACAGTGTCCGCTCGATATCTCGAGTAATTATTAACGGATTAACTTCAAACTTCACAACAAGGTTAATTACCATGAAACCTCGGACAAGTTCGATAACCGCCATTATCCGACCATAATTTGTGGAGTTATGCCCCTTTATGGACTTGCCGAAACAGTGTCCGCTCGATATCTCGAGTAATTATTAACGGATTAACTTCAAACTTCACAACAAGGTTAATTACCATGAAACCTCGGACAAGTTCGATAACCGCCATTATCCGACCATAATTTGTGGAGTTATGCCCCTTTATGGACTTGCCGAAACAGTGTCCGCTCGATATCTCGAGTAATTATTAACGGATTAACTTCAAACTTCACAACAAGGTTAATTACCATGAAACCTCGGACAAGTTCGATAACCGCCATTATCCGACCATAATTTGTGGAGTTATGCCCCTTTATGGACTTGCCGAAACAGTGTCCGCTCGATATCTCGAGTAATTATTAACGGATTAACTTCAAACTTCACAACAAGGTTAATTACCATGAAACCTCGGACAAGTTCGATAACCGCCATTATCCGACCATAATTTGTGGAGTTATGCCCCTTTATGGACTTGCCGAAACAGTGTCCGCTCGATATCTCGAGTAATTATTAACGGATTAACTTCAAACTTCACAACAAGGTTAATTACCATGAAACCACGGACAAGTTCGATAACCGCCAATGTCCGACCATAATTACTGGAGTTATTACCCTTGGTTTCATTAATGCGATGCATGCGTTCCATGATGTTGTATTGCACTCATTGATCTACCAGTTATGTTGAATGATTTCTCTTTTAATATCAATTACTCACAAATACTTCATATATTTCAATCATACAAACAACGGCTCATTCAATGTGTGATGGGCGTATTATATACCGCTCGCGGTAACCTTGTTTATTTTGAACCAATCATCGCCAGATATTCATCTTTGATTTTGACAGTTTAAGTTCGTTATCGCTGTGTTTCCAGACTATTATCTAAGGCAGCTATTTATTTAATGGTCATGCAGTCGTTTTGAAGTTTGACTGTTAGCTACAAGGCATATTTTTTTTTCAAATTTCAAATGTAGTTTCCTTTTGTTTACAATTCATTTAGAGACTGACTGAAAAAGCAAGTTCCAAACAGCAAACTGGAATTTGAGGGTTAAACTTTTAAATCGTTATCCTTTTTGCCAAACAAGTACTCGACGTATCGTTCTCAATTTCATTTCCGTTGTATAAGTAACTGACATCATGCGGTGTTCAGAGAGGCGGGTAAATGAAGAGTAAAAAAGTTTTAGTTAGCCGCCAGCCATGATCACACAGGAAAATATGCTTTGTCTTTGTGTAAAATAATGGTCGATTGTTTTTGTTATACTTGAAAGTGTGCCTTTTGGTGTTGTTACCACTACCCAAGTGTTCGGTGTCATTAAGTAACATTATTTGGATGGGGGTCCACAGGTGTCAAACACTTTCATGTAAATTCTCTTCTAGTTTTATCCAATTTCAATTTGAAATATGGTTTAGTTGACACTTGAATGTTCTCCTCTTGTTTCTTTCTACATGTCGGTTAGTTTTTTATACTTCGTTGTGAGCAGCGAGTTACTTGATCAAACGCTGTAAGAAGATAGAAATGATTCTGATATAATTTTCAATATATTACTGTTATAGTAAACAGTTTAAATGGAAAGCTAACTTTCAGCGAACACTGTCAAATAAAATCCTAGCTGAAAACATATACTCTAGGAATGGAGGACTTTTGATTGTGTCTCTCAAGGGAGTGGTTTCTCAACAGGAAAAAAGTGTATACGTTGTGTAATAGGGGTGGACTATCAAGAAAAATAATTGCTAATTAGGTTGATAAGGGATTGTGCTTCATAGGAATGATTTCACAAGGAAAAGGATTCATTAATATGGATCGTCTGTGTGGCACATTTGCTGTATATGATCTTGAATGTGTTTTCAAGTCAAAAGAAGTTTGCCCTCTTTTAACTTTGAAAATGTTATTTTTTATCTATGTACATAGTGTTTTGGCATTAGAATGAAAACTGCGGTACCAATATATTGTCAGAGTCCTACTTTTTGTACGATATTATAAATGTCTCAAAAACTCCTAAACTCAGTAATAATATCCAGAGTATGTGTTTCATTTTACACCCAAAAGATTTCTACAAGATGTCTGCACACTGACTTTCAACACGCTGGTTTGGTCGCAAACAAAGTCAATCATTTCTGAAATTTGAATTTATTTTTCAATAAACCAATAACCAATCAACAATTATAGGTGAAACTTATTTGTCAATTTTATTGTTTGTTTTGTTTCAATTAATTGCATAACAAAATCAGGCTGATTACAGCTTCAATATTTAAATTCGTTTTTGTATGGGTTAACATAATTTATATATAATATTTCTTTTCAGAATACTGCGATGCACTAGGGATGTTCAATAAGAATGTGAACGGACAAGATGGTAATATATTTTCTTTATATATTGATACAACACACAAAAGACTGCAATGTTACACAATGCATACAGCTTTATACCGATTTATTTCGAATCACTTTAAGGTAAAAACTTTCTTCCTCGTAGACGAACTAACATTTTAATTGCAGAACAATTGGAAATCATCCAAACTTTGGTGTTGTTTGTACATACGCATTTCTCTTGTTGTCCATCTACATTTAATGATGATACTTGTTATAATTAACACGTCTGTTATAAGATATAAAACTGAGCACGCAAACATTGAATAACCAAAGATGTCTTCACATAACTTGACAGCCAATCTACGTAAATATGTTAATATACATGGTGTTTTCTTACAATTTTAGCTCAAACCAGGAAATGTATCGAAAACCATGAAGGAAGTGATCGATTTTACGTCGAGACAAAAGCTTCAAAGGAAGCGATGGACGTTCTAAAATCCAAGCACAATGTTCTTATCACTGGAAACAAGGGATCAGGTAAAACCAGCCTGGCATATCACCTCATGTACAAACTGATGCCGTTGGGTAGGTGTACAGTCCATGTGCTCGATAGCTTAGACATTAGACATCAGAAAATAAACACAGATGGATTTGTAATTGCTCTAATTGAACTAAATGAAATTAAAGAAAAACAAAGAGCAGATTTAAACTTCATCATTAGCGAGTTAATATCCCCAAACATTGATTTAAGTTTATACATCATTATGACAACAATGTCACATAATGTTGATGAAATAGCAGATCTGACAACTCAAGTTGATTTGTCTAACGTAAAAGAATTCGCACTAGATGAACAAGAGAAAAGGTCTATCTTAGAGCAACACTTGAAACAGGTAGTTAAGAAAACGGGAGTTCCATTGTTGCACCCACCAACCCAAGACGAATTGACAGGAATCGTGAAAGAACCATCTTACCCCATTTCATTTCCACTCGCTGCATCTTTGTTTGCAAAGAATGAAAAATATCGTCGACTTGGTCCCACTTTCTTTCGATCGCCTGTCGATTACTTTCTTTCAGAAATAGAATCGCTCTGCAAGGCAAAAGCAACGTTTGTGCTGTTACTACATATAGTTTTTCAGGATGTGACTGACATTATCAACAGTGATGACATCCGTACCTGGATCACAGATCTGGAGTTAGATGTAGATCCTAAATCAACTGAAAAGGCTGGTAAGCGAGTCAATGGGCATTTGACTTTATCATGCAGATCACATATTGGCTTTCAGCTAAGGAACCAATGTGTCAGGAAGGCTTTCGCCGTATACCTCGCTAAAAAGCACTTGCAACGTGCAATGACATGTTTAGACCAAGAGTACATTGTCGACACAAGTATCCTCAGTTGTAGAGCAGAAAACACAGGGAGATGTGTTCAACTGCTTTCTGAAGATTATGATAAGAAACTGTTGGCTAGGAGGTTTTTCAGAGAGATACTTGCAGACAAAACAAAGCATCTTAGCAAGAGTGATGCGTGGTTAGATGACACGTTTATAGAACTATCCATTGAGGTTTTAGTGCAGCATATTAGAGGTACCAAAGAGGATGACAAAGTAACAGAAGCAAGCAGTTGTATAGATAAACTGTACCATTGGGCTGTTTCCCATAGATGTATGCTTCTATGCAAAAGTCTGCGAAAGTACATTGACGACACGTTTGTGTTTGATACACTGCCACATTTTACTGAACAGCTGATGAAAAGATTCATGTTAGTTGCTTGTACAACTACTCGCGATACGCTTTGCATTGCTGACAAAGAAATTACCAAAATAGAACTTCTACGTTTTTTTGTGGAGCAGGGATCACGCTGCAATTTTTGTACACCAATGGTGGAATGTAAAGACGATGAAGGTTTACACTATCTCCTGAGAGAAGGAGTTCTGGATCCACAGCCAGACTGGGGTTTCTGGGATTTTCTTCATACTGCTGCATCAGAGGGCGATACGCTATTATGCAACTATAACTTTGTGAAGTTGTTAAGCCATCAAACAGAGGATATAGCGATCAGCAAAGAAAACGAAGGGATAGCTGAGTTTGCTAAAAAGGTCAAATCATTGCAAGACGATAGTTACACCAGCAAGCGACATTTCTTTTTTAGTTGCATAGAGACTGTTGGATTAAATCAGTCTCTTATGAGGGCCATGAAGCAACACCAATTTGCAATACTTGACAAAAATGAAAAAGGATACAATGGTTTGCATGTAGCCGTTACATCCACATTGCCCGACAAGCGAGTACGGAACACCATAACGGTTCTTGCTTTGACAGAGCTTGACTTACAGCAGCATGTGAACAAGGAGGGTGAAACACCATTAATGATGGCAGTACAATTACCAAATTGTGGTATACAGCGTATAGCTGAGCTTTTGAGACAAAATGCAGATCCAAACTATGCTTCGCGTGACAAATGTGGGCACACAGCATTGCACCTGTGTATAATGTCGTCACTGGATGATGAAACTGTTTCAATTATAGTTTCCACATTGATAGAACATAATGCAGACATCACCAAACGATCTCTGTCAGGCGAGACGCCCATCTCCCTTGCAATATCGAAAGGAAAAGCAAGATTGAAAACACTTGGATCACTTGTGAAAGGTAGGGATGCACATGCACATGCCACACAGTATATGTTGCACTACTGTATACAGCTAGACTTGGCTGATAATGACAAGGAGGAAGTTGTTAAGGTTTTGATCCGTGAGGGAGTTAGTGTAAATCAAAAAAATGACAAAGGACTGACACCAATCATGGTAGCCATACAAAAAACAAGAGATAACGCTGACTTAGTCAGACAGCTTCTAGATGAAAACGCTGATGTGACCATTACTGACAATGAAGGACTCTCTCCATTGCACCACTGTTGTAAAGCACCGCATACGTCAGATGTCGCTGTGAAAATAGGTCAATGGCTATTACAGAGAGATCAGTCTGGTATAGAATCACCCGACAAGAAGAGAAAAACGCCACTGATGTATGCTATCATGAACGAGAATCATACGACATCCGAACTTGTGTTTGACCTAATAGAGAAAGTGACTGATGTCAATGCAGTAGACTCGGGAGGAAATACAGTGATGCATCTATCAATGGCCTCCCATTTTGAAGATGATATAGCAGCAGAAATAGCGGAGAGACTCATGACCAAAGCAGCTGATCCATTTGTGCTAAATAATTACAGTCAAAGCTCCCCCATGTGCGGCCTCTCTTCGCCAAAAGTCCATTTAAAATCCATCTCAAGAATTCTCGAAAAGACTGCAGGGGACTCATTTAGACCCTGCAAAGACATACGTGGGCGTAATTTACTACATCTCTGTGTGGATGCTGCTGATGTTTCCGATGAAGACGCGAGTACAATATGCAAACAGGCAATAATGTGCGGAGAATCCGTCCATGAAAGGTCAAAAGAAAGTAAAAGTCCACTGGAGATGGCTGTGTCATCCAAATCAGTGCGACTCCAAACAATATGTTCCATGTTAAGTTCATCCGGTTTGAAATTAACATGCGAGATTTACGACATGTTGAAACAGGCAAACAAGTTATCATATGAGTTTCTGCAGTTGCTACTTCAGCAAAAAATAGATTTAGACGAAGTCTGCAGAGACTCAAAATTTCCTTACCATGACATAACTGATGAATCTCAGACAGAGGTTGATGAAACGATAGTCCTATCTCTCATTCGTCTAGGCTTTGACATAAATAAAACGAACCCCCAGGGTGACAGTGCCATCATGGCGGCCTGCAGGTTTCGTTGTACGGATGCTATCCTTTTGGCGCTTGGTAGAGAAAGTGATCTCACAAAGCTGACCAACGAAAAAGAAACGTACCTTCACCTATTGTCAAAATCTAACAGGAGTGATTTAGAAACTCGTGATGCAATGAAATCACTTATGAAGATCGCACCAGTAAACGTAAATCACTTGAGCAGAAAACAACGTTCAGCTTTGGCAGAAAGCGTTATCAAACAAAAGAAAGACACTGTTCAGTTTCTGATACATAAAGGTGCAGATCATAACCAAAAGGACAGAGCTGGGAAAACATCCATACACCACTGTGTGGAGGGCGATTGGTTTGATGACAAGGCATGTGCGATGTTAGATATCCTGATCAAAGATAAGACAAATTTTGTTGACATGTTGGATAACTCATCGGCTAGTGCGTTGGACCTGGCATCAAGTCATGAGAGTCATAGTAGGCTATTTACTATACTCAGGCTGCTAGAACTCGGATCAGATGTGGAAACAGTTGATCAGTCTGGTAAATCACCAATCCAAAACTGCCTTACACACCTACGAGGACACCGAAAGTCGGTTGTTCTTGAACGAACCTGTCGGCTGACAATGCTAAGGGTATACGGAGTACATCCATTTTCTAAAGACGACGATGGTAACACTGCATTGTACATCTGTGACAAACCGGAATGGCGCAACAGACTACAACGAGAAAAACGAATCCTACAGGCCAACATGATGCATGTGCCAGCGTTGTTTGAGGAAGTTGTCAAATCCTCATTTGCCTCACTCAGTGTCAACGATACATTTTCTCATGTCGAATACCCAGTGAAAAAACTGACGCCAAGAGTTCTGGATTTAATGAAATACTCTTCCAAGCTGCTCCACAGAGAGGTATTTGATGTTTATGAAGATGATGCAGATTTTGATACATTGAGTGATTTCTTAGAAATAAGAGAATTTGAAGCCCGATGAATTAGGAGATATTGTTGTACATTTGTTTTTAACATCTATGCCAGAGGAACATTGGATTCTGTCCACTAAGAACATTTTCTATCTTTCACATGGTGATAGGTATAAAGGTGTTATTTGTCAAAGTGTGAAATTGTCCCTTTTGTATTGACCAATCAAATTGGTTCTTTCTATTGAATGCATCCAAAACAGCAGAGTTCTGGTCAGATTCAAATGAAGCGACGATAGAATAAGTGGTTTTCTTGTACATCTCGTATACATCTACTATGTCATTTACCTGACTACACAACTGATAGCGTTGTAAGCAAGACATGCCAGATATTAGCACAATGCGGAGCTATTGCGTTGAGAAGCCCATTCAAAATGGCGGATTGTTGTAAAGAATATGGCGCCAAAAGTAATGTTCGATGCAGTGGTATCGTCGCCATTTTAAGTACTTTTTGAATTTAATTAACAGAAATTTGATGGCTTCCCTGTTTAATACCATATTTTTGCTCGTAGGGCAGAATATATCAATATTTCCATTCGTATTTCGCGTTCGTGAAAATATCGGTATTCTGTTTAACTCGTGAAATGTATATAGTATTCAACATGTTACAGTTATTAGCCTTTCATTTGTTCACTATTGGTCCACTAGAGTTAAAGTAGCCATAGTGTACGAAGTGACAGACATGCATGAATATATCGTGGGTGATTTTAAGTTATACCTAAAACATGTCCGAAAATCCGTCTATTATCTGATACAGTTTAAGTAGATTATGCGGAGGATTCCGTGATATTATAATAATTGTCTTAAAAGATCAATTTATTTTGATAAGGGTCAGATAACTGATGGAGGTTTTGTATCATCTGTGTAATGTTTTAAACACAGAAATTTAGTTACGATGGATTCGATCTACTGAGTAGAAAGGAAACACCCAATGTGACTCAGAGTAACTTATCTCCTTGTTTGTTGGGTGATTTGATTTTGTTTTCGTGATGGGGATCGTTGTTTCAATAGTGAACGTATGACGTGGAACCGATATTTATGTTGTGTTGTTGATTTGTGCATTTATATCTAAGTTTGCTCTGCATCTTCCTACTGTAAGCTAGGAGAATACAAACGAGTTGTGAAAACAAAATTTAGTCAGGTGATCACTTTTTCGACGTCACCGAATTGATTGTGACAATACTGATTTTGCTATCGCGAAACACTTCAGGGAATTATTTGAAGAGTGCGAAATAATGCAGTTACTTCTCCGTTAAAATGTATTTAAGCTACTGTATGTACATGTAAGTGAAGTGCTTTTCGTATAACTTTTTTCTATTTGTTTGTAATGTACGTTTTCTCCTTTTCGTACTGATCTTGTATATAGAAATTGTTTAAGCTAGATGATATGCTGTTCCCTGTATATTAAATGTTGATTAGTGTAAAGATATACTGTGACACTGAAAAGGTCCACTGCCATTGACATGTGAAATGGTGTTTTGTGTACATTTTCCCGAAGGCGGAGGTATCAGTAGTTTACTATATTATATTTCCCCTTGACGAACGTCAAAAGAGGTGAAAGTGCTCGGGAGGTACCTTGTCATTTTTTATATTATACTATCACAAGAACTTAGGATGTGTTTCTGAATATATATTTACTAGCATATAATGCACTACGTTTATTTAATATCATGTACATGATGTAGTATGTGTCGATACAGTTTAACATGAAAGATAAGGGACCATAATTTTATGATTTTTCATCTTCAACCTATTTTGATGTAAACACCATCAAAGTAAAATGATACAGTGAACAATCAAAAGATAAAACACAAAATATACAAATAATCCAGGCACTAATGTGAGGTGCCATTATTTAAAAACAAAAGCTGTTTCAGTAGAAGGTATTTGTCTTTTTTATACGGAAACTTTTTACACAGATTCGGCTATATTTATATGGATACAACCGTGTATGTACATTTATTGATTATGTTGTGTTGTATATAAAAGTATTACTACTTTATATTCATTTAACGAGTGAACATACGTAAGTTTGTTGATGCATGCTTTCTTGTTTTATTGACGTTTATAATCATACTCTTTCAAGAGATAAACACTGTCATCTATTAAACTGAATTGTGTGTGTGCCTGTGTACGTGATATCAGCTGTGGGTATTTTTATCGCATATCACATTGATCTGGTTTATCAGACTAGAAGATAGCAACAGAATATAACCGCCGTACACTAGAGAAATATAATATTGATTGTGTAATCATAGTTAGATTTGACCGTCTTTTCCACTTTTTTTGCGGGGACTTCGAGAAAACATGTATTCGAATTAATTTAATATGTTATTCTGGGGTTCAGGATATTTAGATTTTCAATAATAAAGATGATATTGGTATTATAAATGTTTGACTATATTAAGATGTGCAAGGTATATTTAACGATCGTTGCAGCTTAATGATAATCACAAAAACAAATTCCGTGTACCGGTGTGTGTTGATTGACATATTTCCCTGTTTATATCGAGACACATCTTTTAGGGTGTCTCATTTAGTGAGCAAACGTCTCTAATAAATACACAATCCGTTACATCATCTGTCCTCCAACCGTCAACTTGCACACCACCTATCACAAGTTACACTAACTATCACACCACCTGTCGCACCATCAGTCACACCACTAGTCACACCACCTGTCACCAGTGGGACAATCAGTCAAACCACCTGTCACCAGTCACACAACAAGTCAAACCACCTGTCACCAGTCATACCATTAGTCGCACCACCTGTCACCAGTCATACCATTAGTCACACAACTAGTCGCACCACTAGTCACACAACCCGTAACTAGTCGCTACATAAGTTATCCTACACACAACACCTGTCACCAGTCACACCACAAGTCACACCAACTGCCACCAGTCACACCATCTGTCACCAGTCACACCATAAGTTATCTTACACACAACCTTTCACTTCACTAGTCACACCACCTGTCACCAGCCATACTACATGTCACTAGTCATTCCATTAGTCACACCACTTGTCACCAGTCACACCACCTGTCTCCAGTCACACCATAAGTTATCTTACACACAACCTGTCACCAGTCATACTACATGTCACCAGTCATACCATTAGTCACACCACCTGTCACCAGTCATACCAGTCACACCACATGTCACCAGTCACACCAAATGTCACCAGTCACACCACCTGTCACCAGTCACACCAAATGTCACCAGTCACACCACCTTTCACCAGTCACACCACCTACCACCAGTCATACTACATGTCACCAGAACTGCCACCAGTCACACCACCTGTCACCAGTCACACCAGTCATACCACATGTCACCAGACACACCAACTGTCACCAGTCACACCACCTACCACCAGTCATACTACATGTCACCAGTCATACCATTAGTCACACCACCTGTCACCAGTCACACCATAAGTTATCTTACACATAACCTTTTAACTTCACTAGTCACACCACCTGTCACCAGCCATACTACATGTCACCAGTCATTCCATTAGTCACACCAACTGTCACCAGTCACACCACATGCCACTAGTCACACCACCTGTCACCAGTCACACCACCTGTCACAAGTCACACCACCTACCACCAGTCATACTACATTTCACCAGTCAGACCACCTGTCACCAGTCACACCACATGTCACCAGTCACACCACCTGTCACCAGTCACACCACATGTCACCAATCACACCACCTGTCACCAGTCACACCACCTGTCACCAGTCATACTACATGTCACAAGTCACACCACCTTCCACCAGTCATACTACATGTCACCAGTCATACCATTAGTCACACCACCTGTCACACCACCTGTCTCCAGTCATACTTCCTGTCACCCTACACCTCGATCCACTTGAATACACATTTTTATTGTTTTTTTCATCATGTCTTTCCACATAATTGTTTGTGCAATTGTCTTTGCATTTTAAAAATTGTTTTGACGTTGATGAGTTCCTTGAATCTAGCAAAGGCTTGTTGTATTGAATATAAGTATTATATAAAATATAGCAAAATGTATGAAATGAATAGCGTGTATATTATTTTATGCTTTTACGCTCCTACTACATTCCTCGTGTTATGCAATGAATTGTTTGTATAATGCGAGGTATATTAGTAGGCACTTTCGTTAATTAATTATAACAATAGTATTGCTAAATTGTCAAACGTCAAGGACTTCAAAAATCCATGAGTTGAAAAATGACTTACAACTAACGTCAAAACTTAATCACACTGCTTTGATTGATCCTTGTTCCGATTTAAGATACAAAGCAATAAATGTAATTAAAGGTCGATATTAAATAAGGTGTTTTAGTCAGTAGTATGAATAGAACTATGTAGGTTATATGGGCCCTAATGGTCAGTGTATTCTTAAAACAATATTGAATTCGTGTCACGAGCCCAGGTCGAGTTACATATCGGATACACTGCCATGAATTGTTTTTAGAAACATTGGGATCACAGTTAACTACTGTATTTGTTGGATCGGAATTTTGAATCTGACTGGAAACAGCTCTAAGTAAAAACATCTAACTACGTTATTCAAATAATCAACTATAAAAGTATAGATGCCAAATTACGTTTTTTTCACAATGTTAAATCGATGTTTATGATGTATTGCTGATTTGTTCATTTACATTTACATTTGCTCTGCATCTTCCCACTAAGCTAGGAGAATGCAAACGAGTTTTGAGAACACAATTTGGTCAGATGATTACTTTTTAGACGTCACCGAATTGTTTGTGACAATACTTATTTTGCTGTTGCGATTTGAGGAATGTGAAATAATTCAGTAAAAGATACATTTTCCGTTAAACTGTATTTAGCTAATGTATTTTTTAGTGATGTGATCCTGTAACCTACATTGCTAGTGCTTACAACCGAATACGATATCGGGTTGATTACGTTTGGCCGGGAGATTCGTACAAGTACAGTACAAGTAAATACTTCAAAAGTAGTCTCTATCTAACAGTATGACGTAGACAAAATTGAGTTAACGTTAAGTAAATGGCGAGTTAACAATAGAAATGTATATAACAGGACCGCAACACCATTAGCTGAAACATCAGGTTTCATATTATTTGATATACACATACATTTTGTTTTTGATGAAAATAAAGAATTGCTGCGAGAGCAATACGTACGTAATTCTTTGTTTTGCCTGTTGATCTTTGTTTGTCATAACAATCAGTCATCAAAGGGGAGATAACTGCTGCTTTCTGTTAATCACGTTCTATCGCGAGAAGGTTATTTTTGTGTAAATTTATCAAGAAGGGGCTCTAAGGCGATTATTTATGAAACATGGAAGTAATTAGTTTAACAAGCATTTTCATTGGCTTAAAAATTTATGCTATCAGTCAATAACGTAAAAACTGACGTCGCCGTTTGTAACGTCGCTTTTGATTGGCTGATACAGCGGCGTAATAAATTCTAAGAGAAAAGAGACCATCAAAAAAAGTGGATTTCCACATGGATTGTGTATAGTAGATTAAACTATAAGGGTTGACCTGAATATATTTCGCGGTTTATTTAGAGTACACTCCGTTTTTTTGTGTGTTATAGCTCCATGATATAAAAAGTATATTCAAGTTAATCCTTAAATGACACCTCAAGAAAACGAACGGATTTAAAGCACAATTATATTTGTATTTATCGCGAGCTAGGCTGCAAATGTTCCGAACCTGTAAATACTTATCACGTATGTTCAGTAATTATTTAGATAGAAACAGTATATGTTCCGTAACTATTCAAATTGACATGGTGATGTTTCCATAACTGTTCATATAAACGTGGTTTATGTTCCGTAACTGTTAATTTTTACGTGGAAATGTTCTGTAAACTTACGTGGCATATGTTCCGTTACTGTTAAGATTGACGTAGTAAATTTCCCATAACTGTACAAATGAACGTGGCATATGTTCCGTTACTGTTAAGATTGACGAAGTAAATTTCCCATAACTGTTCAAATGAACGTGGCATATGTTCCGTTACTGTTAGGATTGACGTAGTAAATTTCCCATAACTGTTCAAATGAACGTGGCATATGTTCCGTTACTGTTAAGATTGACGTAGTAAATTTCCCATAACTGTTCAAATGAACGTGG